TTAACCAGTATCGGAACCGTGGTTTAGTAGTCTACTCCAGTTCAACATATTATTTATTTAGTATTTTCGTTTCGCTTTCACGAAAATATAAGAAAGTCACTATCATTAATATTTTTTTTGTATTGAAATATATATTATAGAAACATATATTTAAAAATAAATGTTTCTAATTGTACCCATCTTTTTTTTTTCAAAGCGAGACATCATACGTCCTGATTTAAATTTGATCGGGATACCATATGTATTTATTTTTCAGTACAATCTTTTCCTTCTCCTGTCCTATATTTTTTTTAAATTATTTTTTTGTATAACTTCTGCTAAAGCGCCTATAAAGTTTTTTACGACACACAAATGGATCCACTCTTTGTATCAATTATATGAAAGTAAACTTATAAATGAAGATGTATATATCATTCTATTTAGATACGCTCTCATAGCTTCGTCCTTGCGCATCCATCATCGCAATGAGCTGAACCAGATCCATATATATATTACGAGGCACCTTTAATTGAGTAATTTTATGTACGCAGTTTATCGTATATACCGTTTTAAATGAAATATTTCTTACTCTAAAAAACTGATATGAGAAATTTAATTCATTAGTAAGTAAGCGCCGCATTTGTTAAAATCTTTGTATTGTCAAATATTGAGGTTGGTTACGGTTGTGTTCAATAAATTTTTAAGTCTTTTTTGACTGTTGCTTAATCTGAAAAAGCTTGTAACAATACAATCGGTTTTCATTTTTTGTCTTTTGTTCATTCGTTTCCAAGTAGAAGGGTCGCTCTAAATAGCGGACTGAATCTATCGAGAACTTGCAGATTTAGACTTTACTGCAGATATTGTTTTGTGTCAGTTGGTTAGTCAGAAACAATCACTTTCGTTTCGTGCCATTGACTGTGAGTTAGCTGACAATTTAAACACTGAAAGCTGAGAGATCCCCTGTAATGTGGCCGTATAGTTAATGAAAAGTCAAAACAGAACTTCTGAAATATTCGGCGTCCAATGGACTTCTTTGTAGTTAAAAAGTATTATTAAAAACCTCCCGTTTATTGCATTCTACTCAAAAATAGTAGTAAATTACCTTGCTTAATTTAGAAACAACTTGTTGTTACACATTTGTACATAAAATTAAATACACAGTAGGTACAAGTGTTGCCCGTTTTTAGAAACACAAATTGATTTATATGACAATTAGAATAAAAATATATAAAGGAATTTGTCAGTCGGCTCTTGTGAGATCAATCAATCATTAAAATATCAATCATTTAATTGTTATTAGAGTTTTTTTTATTATCGTTATTATGTTTTAAATACAACGAATATTTAAATTAAAAATAATTATATGTTGTAAATAAGTGTTTACGACAGCTAATTTACAAAGCAGTAGGCAGATTTTTTGGTTTATGTAGACTTTAATCTGTAATATTTTTTGTAGCACGAGAAAAGGACGGATCAGTGCGGCCCAAGATATAGTGAAGTGACATGATAATTGTTAATTTTCCTCCACTTCTGTTTAAGAATACATAACCGATATTGTTATTATTAAGCTTCCGTGGGCTTTATAGTCAGGTTTCACTATAATTGAAATGTGCCTACGTACAGTCACGACTTTTGTACTGCGGAGTCACATTGAATAGCCACGAGGGAGGATCAGGATTTATTAATTGAAAATACCGTCTTTAGGGCAAATCTTCCTCCGAGCCTTGTCACAAATCAGGTTGGGGATTTTTTACGTGGAGCTACTGCCATCAGACCTTCACAACCCAAGTACTAGGCGATATCAAAGTTCTGTAGGTAGACTGTTGTTGGACGTTTTAGGGCTTCAACTATCCTATTTTATTCTCTTTTTGTTTATGAATATTTTGTTTAAATAAACAATTTTATTGGTTGTTTTATTATTATTGTAAAAAAAAAAATGTTTTTCATTTGAACATAATATATTATCATCATCATCAACAGCCTTTAATAGTAGTTTACTGCTGGACATAGGTCTCTCCTTAGAAAGGGGTCAGGCGGGTTGGTGTAGGGTTTGATTCAAGTTTTCCTTCTCTTTGCAGTGTTTTTACCTGCGTAGTTTGCTCTGTTAGTTGGCACTTACGACACCAACGGGATGAATAGAGTTGGTGATCTCCGTATTCTTAATCCGTACATCCATACGAACATGAGTTTTAGGTAAGCTAATAAATCTCAAAACGACAGCTGCCAGGAATGGTTAACACCATACCTACAGCATCTTCACCACTGGAGCCTTGCTAATACGTGTGTTGTGGCACACCGGTGCAATACTTAGGTATTTGTTACTAGATTAATAGTTTTTAAACTAGGTAGTTACGTTAGCAATATTCTTGGTAAATGTATAGTTTTTGGACGTATACATATTTTCCCTTTCCGTAGTTTTTAGGAATAAGTATATCCTGTATCGCGGGGGACTTTACAAACATACATGAAACGGACACAAAAACACCCAGACTCAGAACAACAATTTCTGGATCACACAAAGTGTAGTCCCATGTGGGGATCGGACCCACAGCACTTAGCGTAGTAGTAAGCGACGTGGCGACCGCTTAAACCACTACGCCATCCGTGCAGTCAAATTATGCAAGCTAGCAATGTTATATTTGACATATTAAGTACATTATAAAGTAAAGCCACTCAATCAAGCTCAACTTCAAATCTTTATCACAAATCAGAGAATAATAATGGCACAGAATCTATTTCGTAATCTGTTGCGTCGTTGTAAATCAATTAATATATGTCAAATCTCTAGATCTATGAGACATTAATGACTAATATTTTGAACTACCCGCTGTTCCCATAAACCAACCTACATAGAAATTCTTCAAGAAGTTTGTAGTTTCCCAGCTTCATCTTTAAGGGTAGAGTGATTTATTGAACCCATCCCTCCAAAACTTTGGGTAGATGGAGGCAATAAATGCCGGCAACGTGGTTTTAATTCTTGAGCTGCAGATTGATTGCAATTTGATTTTCATGGGCGATGGTAGTCACTTACCATCAGTTGACCCCGCAACTTGTTTGCCCACTATAGAAAAAAAAAAAGATATTTGGCAATATTATAGTATTTTAAATAAGTATAGATAGACTTAATAGCTCGAATTACGGTTGTCGATATCTTATCGACGGTTAAACTAAAGTACCTAAGAAGCACTTAAGTCAACATCAACAGCCTTTAATAGTCCACTGCTGGACATAGACCGCTCCTTTGAAAGGAGGTTTTGGCCTACTATACCACGCTAGCCAGACGGGTATCGGGTTAGTTTCAAGTTTTTCTTCTCTTAGCAGTGCTCTTGTCCTGCAGAATGTGCTCCCTTAGTCGGCTCTTACAACACCTATAGGATGAATAGGGGTGTTGACACTCTATATTTTTAATCCGTCACCACATAGGCATTTAAATACTTAGTGAATTTATGTATATGTATCTAGGTGTTAAAATACAACACTGTTTGTCGTTGAATGTTAATCATTGAGTTTTTTTAAGCCAACTGACGATTTGTGTCCTTGGCAATATCCAGACAATTAGCATTAGTCTTACCGTCTCATAGTGTACTTGTACAAAATGTCACTGTCAAAAAAAAGTGTTATTATAATAATAATAATAATAAAATTGTTTATTTTCTCGCCACAATACATTTATACATAATTTTAGCCTGTATAAGAATTATTACAAAATATTATACTGTGGGAGACTGGTGCCTAAGCTAGGCTCAGAGCCTGTATTTCAGGACACCAGGGTCCCCTCCTTAATTGTATACATATCTGTTAGTATCAGCGCTTTGACAATTAGTTGTGGTCGAACTATTATTATTGTGTGTGTGTAGGTGTGTGTGTGTATGTGTGTGTGTGTGTATGTGTGTGTGTGTGTGTGTGTGTTCATAATAGTGGGTGTAGGATCGTGATGTACCTATTTTTATACTAAGACAGCAAGCATCTTTTCAGTGTCGTCGTAAGTTAGATCTGAGAGCCAAGCAGTTAATTTCATCTTACATTTTATTTTTTGCATTTCGTAAATTGACAAGATTTTATTAATTTTGTTGTATAGGTATGGTCCCAAGTAACAAAAGTAGCGTTTTGAATACACGGTGTTAAGCCGGTATTGCTCAGAATGCCTTGGTGTAAATAAGTTATGACACATTAGCCACTGTTGACACACCCGTACGACATTATAATAAATTGAACTATTTGCCGAGTGACTCATAGGAGGACATTTTGTTTGTAAATAAAATATATTGGTTCTAAATTTGTTAAAAAACATTGTTTGTAAAAAACATTGTCAGTGTATTACGAACCATACCAATTTAGAACAAGACTTGTATAGCGAAAGCACCGGTGTAATTAAGATTAATTAATTACTGTTGCATTAATTACTGTTATCTATTTCCACTAATATTAGACTTATTGAACAATTGTTTATTGTACCAAATAAAATAAAATAAAACAAAAACAAAATTAGAGTTATGAACAAAATGCATCTGATTTTCCTACCTTTTTCCCAATTCTATTTAGGGTTGCCGCATTATGCAACATTGTAAACGGCTTATGACCAGATGCCTGCCTGACATCAACTCTCCTTGGAAATGTAAACGTTTTCAGAAGAAAACGGATAGAACAAGGGAGTTAGGGTACGGTTTACCATGGACATTTTCTCCCAGTCTACCTATGGGAGGAAATGTCTGAGGAGATGGACAGAAACAATGTGACAGATATACATACACATACATACATATATACTTACTGAGTTACACACATATAGGAGTCCAAGCTCGCATTTTATGCACCCTAGCCGATTAGGGTGCATAAAATGCAAGCTCGGACTTTCCTCTTAAATTAGAGTCGGCTGAGTGCCATTTTTTAATTAAAATTGAATTAAAAATGGAAACTCAGTCAAGCCACATGACATAAACGGGTTTATAATCTTGTCATAGACAAATTAGGGCAATGTTCGTATAATAAAACGCAGCTTAAAAAAAAGTTGTGTCACTGATATGATCAGTTGCGTAATATGCTTGTGTGCGTGCTACTGTGTGGCCCGTCACGAGCCAGCTCAGATGAGATACAGTTTAGATAAGCTACAATGTGACGCTTTGATGCTACTCAACCGACCGCAAGACGTTTGAAGACCTGTCTTTTGGCCTTGTAACAGTCATGTGCATTCTATAGGCCGCGCCTAGAATAAAAAAAAGTGAAACTAAAACTATCATTCGCTGAATAATATGTAATTCACGGTAACTGTCTATTAAAGATGTAAACAAAATATTCATAAGTTTTGATTTGTTACCTTCATTATTATAGCTTCATGTACATGAACTTTAATATTAAAACCATTTATTTATTCAAAACTTAATGCACATGTTGTACAAAGGCGAACTTAATCCCATGGGGCACTCTCTCCCAGTCAACCTTTAGATGATGTAGAAATGTGATGGGGTAGGTGTAAAAAATTAATAAAATTTCATAGTTAAAAAAAAAACTTTTAGATTTATATAATTAATTTTTAAAATTTTATTAAATTAATGTTTAAAAAATTATCATGGACTTTAATGCATCATCATCAGCCTATCGCAGTCCACTGCTGGACATAGGCCTCTCCCATTGCACGCCACTTAGATCGATTTTGGTCTTCTCGACTTTAATGCATATATCGATTAATTGTAATAAACTGTTTACTTCATTCCTTAATTTTCCACCCGTAGAGGTGGTATTATTAATCTTCAAACTTGAACGAAACCAAACGGGAAATATTTTCTCAAATTAAAAAAGATTTGGTAATTCTGAACGAACAAACATAAAATAATGATAAATTGAGAAAAGTTTTCGAAGTCGGTTAAAAATATAGTTTATCATTATTTAATTTTTGTTTTAAGCATTTAATTTTAAGCAACTTAATAATCACCGTCTGGCTGACATCCTTTTCCGCGATTGCGATCGACAACACCTTGTCTTAAATCCTTACTGCCATACTTATATGTATGTATTATGAATGTGTAGGTGACTTTGTTTGTTTGTTACACTTTCACACCTAAACCACTAAACCGATTTTTAAATCCTTTGACCAATGGAAAGCTACATTTTCCCCGCGTAACATAGGCTAGTTTTTACTGCCACATACACGCGGGCGGAGCCTCGGGCAAAAGTTAGTCTATTATAAAAATATATATTTTACTTCAGTTTCAAGTATCTGTCAATTACAGCTATATTTATGTTTTCTAACAAATTCTAATTTTACAAATCGTAATGGCGCGTTTCCTTCTCTTACATTTTAACTTAACCTACTTTTTCCTAAATGCGAGGCTGTTTTGAGTTCAAATTTAGGATATCAGCCTTATTTGGAGCGAGACTGAGTCAGTATTACATTATCTAGTGGCATTTAATGAACAGGATATAACTTTTTTGTAGCGACCATATACAACCTTTAAAATTTGTAATGTCCGGTAGATCAAACTTTTTGCAGTCAGTGGCGTACATACACAATATATGACACTCATTCCTAGGGGAAGATTATCGGGACTGAATTATGCGAGAGGTTCGCGAAAAAGAAGTCTTAGGACCGACGCCTGGGAACATAAAATCCTTGCCAAAAACCGAGTGTTTTAAGCATTGTAACGATTTAGGTGTAGTACTTCAAGATGGAGAATGTAAAGACATATAATCTTATTATAGAGACGTATCTGACGCATCTATAAGTACATTCTTAACTTAGAAATACTTCTTTTCTAAGTTAAGAATGGTTAAAAACCACTTAAGAAACAGTATCAAGCAGATGCGACTGTTTTTTTTTATATTAGAGGGGGGGGCGGGGGGGGGGGCAGACGAGCAGACGGACGTTTTAACACACTTTTTTTCACAATACCTTCGACGAAATCAATTCAATATCTTGTAATCATAAAAATAAATGTTAATAACTTGACATGCCCAGTTGACTGATCCCAAACTAGGCTAAGCCTGTGCTATGGGAACTAGATACTATAGAGCAAGTATATTCGATATATAAGATAACGCTCATACACAGAACAAGTAATTGTGCTTATCATCATCATCAACAGCCCTTAATAGTCCACTGTTATACATAGGCCTCTCCATGGAAAGGAGATTGTGGTCTACAATGAAACGCTGGCCAGACGGGTTGGGAAAGAGTCTGTGTCAAGTTTTCCTTCTCTTTGCAGTGTTGTTGTCCTGCGCTGTTTGCTCCTTTAGTCAAAACCTATGCTCATTACACAATACTTGTCAGGGTGGGAATCGATACCTTCAAATGACTGTAACCAAAATTATATAAGATTGCTTTTACAAAAAATCAACCACTCATACAGATTTTCTTTATTAACAGGATCTCCGCAGCCTTCTCAAATCAAAGCATGTTCAGGGTTTTGAGCTCCATGATGTCCACAAGTCCCTCAATAAGACCAAAGTCACAGAGACGGTAGAGGCCGCTCGTTCTGCCATCGCTTCATCTGGCGGTGGCCCGCTATTCCTGGCACTACCAGCCCATCCCGAACTGTTGGCTAAGTACTACGACTTGAGAACGATGATCAAGAAAGTAGATTTATTGATGGTGGAGACACATAACTTGGGAGTGGTCAAGAAGATGACATATCATCCGAGTCGGTTGAGCGGAATGTGGGATATGATGAACACGGTAAGTGATCTGTCTAATTTAAGATTATATTTAACATAAATTAATATTATGTTCTGTCAATTTATGATCATTATATAACTAAGTAATACAACTGAAAAACTAAATAGAATTTATATAGATATTTATAGATATTTTTAATAAAAACGATGCACATTTGTAGTGAGTTATTAGGATACCTTACAAGATTTCTACACCACCCAAACGTAGAAAATGTCCAGGGAAATAAGTCCGCCGATGTATTATGCATAAGTGCATAAAGTTGTAAGTAAATTAATAGGGAGGTTCGCTTCCTGATGCTAACAGGAATTGTCATCAGATTTGTTGGTGTAATATCCTATACTAATCAAATATAACGACAAATATTAAAACTTTAAAATTATGAGTTCTAATATCTATCTTATTGCTACTTCTGTAGGCGAGCTTTTTCTATACAGTTACATATTGGCCTTTTAATGCATATACCTACATACGATTGGATACAGCATTTTGCTTTGCTCGTTTTGTATTATAATCGTACTTAAAAACCCGAATCATAAATTCCACTTATTTTAAAGAAAACAATAGAAAAATAAACAATATCAATATTAAAAGTAACAAAACACTTTATATTTATACAATATACATGTCAGTGAGTCACAAGAAAACAACTGGACACTTGTAACTGATATCGCGTTTACCTAGAATCATTTGAATGGTATGGATATTACATCCATAGATTTATTCGGTTTCAGTAATGAAATCGATTTAGTGTATAATCAATAATTTTGAGATAAGTAAGAGTTAGCCTCAGAAATTGCTTGCTTGGCATGGCTTGCCTTAAAAACTTTGTGCGCTGACACTAAGAATTTTTCACATCTTTAAAATGAATTATTGATTCCATGGCGGTCAAACTGTGGCCTAAAAATTGTCTTATTGTTTCGAAATAATACGTTAAATAGTTCAGTTATTTTGTTTGAAATTACAACTTGTAAGCAGGTTTAAATTTGGTTAATTCAATTAATAAGGTTTAATTCACAGCACCGCAATTAAAATCCATTCTGATGATAAAACCATATATTTGTTAGTTTTAAATATAAATAAATAAATATTTCTAGCTAATGTACCTAAACGAAACTTTAAAAATATGTTGAGAATATCACCTAAATCCAAGATGAAATAATGTAATACTTTATATCATCATCGATTAGGTTCACTAGTGACGTTTTGAAGCACATTATCCTATTTTTCCTTCGGTTTTTGGTGCTGCTGCTTGGTATAGGATTTTTTTATTTATAGTCTGGTAATAAATTTATACATATATAAGGTTATATAAGGTTATTTAAGTTGATATTTGGACTCGCCACTCGTCACAAATTACCTTAGAACCTTGGGAAACAGTTTTAGTTTATCATGGTGTACATAAATTATTTAAACTTAACTAGTATACGCCAGAAACATAATTAGTTTGAAATGACAAATTTAACGTAATTATAATTTTGACAGCGCTTTAATTAGCGATTAATTAGTTACTATTAATACATGCACAAGTTACTTCCATAATTAGGAATAATTCATATGTGTTTATAATCCGTCATTCGTATTTCGGTCACGTACCAATTGCTACTTGTTTGAAGGTAAACTGCAATGGGAGAAAAATCCCAAAGAAGCATTCTGAACACATGAACCTTACGCTACTTAGTGATACGGTATAAATTACAGTGATTAATGCGTTTTAGCTAGTTAGAAATGTTAGCAATTTTGGCTTTGTAGGGCAATTGGCATGTGCATCTGTATAAATTTGCAAGTACAAGTTTAGCTCATCTTTAATGTTGGTAGGTAAATAGATGCCGTTTGGTGCGTTTTTATTGATTACTCATTACGCAAGTGATCTTGATTATAAAATAAGGTTTGGCCTGTGTAAATAGAGTAAAGGTCGTCTAGTTTGGTTTAATTAAAAGGAATACTTGAAGAATTTTAATTGACGATTTAAGGGATTTATGTGGAGGAGGTATTTTAATTAAAATGATGTTATATAATCATGTAGGCCTTTATTTATTTTTTATAAATAAATTGGCAGGGAAGAACAGCGAATAAATTAGTTAGCAGTTTAACTTGCCAATTTTATACTCGTACAATCCTTGGAGACATCAACTCAAAACAATGGCAGACAAATAGCTGGAGAAGCGCTTCAGTTTTATTTGCTTTTCTGGCTGAGGGTTTCAAGACCAAGCCAAAATCTTTATGTGCGATCTCCTAACATCACAGTTTAACTTTAATTACAGGGATAACACCCATTTATGTATGCAACGCCACGCCAAATTGTGAAATGTTAAGTATCTTCTACATAAAAAAAAAAGAATCATCAAAATCGGTTCACCTAGTCAAATGATCTGCGGTAACAAAAAAAAAAAAAACAGTCGAATTGGGAACCTCCTCCTTTTTTTGAAGTCGGTTAAAAATAAGCAAAGACAAAATAGTTTAGTAGTTCTCTTTTATTATTAAACCTATTTCTTTTGTTACTTAGCTTAAGTTCTATAATTTGAAAATAGAATTTGTAAAATATGATGAAGCTTATCTGTTATCAATAATTTTACGACTTTCGACCTTCGGCTTATCAATAATGGTAAAAAATTGTGATAATCAAATTACATAATAAATTAATCATGATTACAACTACCTGTCTTACTATAATTCCAGGATTCAGTAGTAGATCTCGTCGTCGGCCTAGGAGTTCCAGCTTCAAAAGTAGTTATTAGTCTACCCGCTACCGCTCATCAGTTCACATTGGTGAACGAAACTCTCAGTACTCCTGGCAGTCCTACTGTAGATGATGAGCCTAAGGAGATCGACCAAGCTGAGCTGTGCAGGCAGCTGAAGAGCGGAAGGTGGACATTGGAAAGGGATCAGGATCTGTCAGCGCCTTATGCTTTTAAGTGAGTGTTATTGGATTGTGTCAATAGTTTTATTATTTTGGTAGGCGTTTATAAATTCGTTTTCATTAACCAGACAGGAATACAAAGATACTATGAACTGATCTACGAGTAATATATTTAATATATACATATAAACTGCGGATTAAGCCAATACAAAATTCATATTTTGTTTTTTCTTTTGGTATCAATCCTGTAGTTATTGCGGCTTCTCGAAAACTTTAAACTAAAAAACAAATAATTAAATATACAACCAATGTTTTGATGGAATGTGTTTGGAACCAACAACTTAGAGAACGCCTGCTTAGTGAAAAGTTGATGGACATTGGAAGATGTAACAGCATCCTGGCCAGTCCTTAGACAGATACAGTTAAGGCTATTCATACATTGTATTTTGGTGGTAAGTCACTGCCTCAGCCCATGGACACCCGATGCTTAAGAGTCTCAAATGCCTTACCGGCCTTTGAGTGCCCCTCCAGAATTACAGGTATGATGGAGGGTGGGACCTCCGGTAATATCGTTTACATGGTGAAATACAAAGATTTTTAAGGTTAAGAAATGGTGTGCTCTGTCACTCATATAAATAAAATTGGTTTTATCATGTCTCCATGTTCACAGTAATTTTGCCAATTTTCAAAGTTCAGTTAGTAGTACAATACATAAAAAACTTTTAACTAGTTGAAAAATATCCGAAATTTCAGGGACAAGACCTGGATATCCTTTGAAGACTCATCCTCTGTGGATGTGAAAGGTAAATATGCCCGTGTCCGTGGTCTAGCTGGTCTCGCGTTACACCGTACCGAGCGTGACGTGGATACGACCTGCGGGCCGACGTTAAGAGCCGCACTTGCCAAGGTGCTAAACCAGCAGAGTCGAGCGCCAAGAGCTGCCGTACTCAGGTATTGTAAAAACTATTTCATTACCTACTTCAAACAACTTCTTTAAATTCAATTTTTAATGTGTATGTCACTGCTCTTTTGTAAAAAGTTTTAATTATACTCGTAATAGGTACCTATAAATCGGGTATAAATATACTAAGGAAAAAGACGGGCCTGCTGGCGCAGTGGTGAGTGATTCAGACTGCTAAGAAGGGATGGAATAAAATCACAACCTCATGTGATAATGATTATAAATAATATCATCACTCCTATGACTGATTCGCAAAACCACTGCTACTTAATTATTATTATTACACTAGTCGCTCGCGAAAGGTCTATATTTAAAAAAAAAACAGAGGCGGTCACACTTTGAATTGAATTACTAATTAATTCAAATGAATATGCTTTAAAAGTAACAATAATTTCTATATCCACCTACTGCTACGTGTAAGCCAACGGTCGGATTCCCACCCAGGACAAATATTGTGTGATGAGCGCGATATTTTTTCTGTATCTGGGTATAATTTATCTATGATATGTATGTATTTAGAAATATATAAGTATGTTTATCAGCAGTCTGGTCACAATAGCAGGCTGTGCCTGGATGGCAATCAGATGGCCGTATGTGAGATGTAAAGTTATATTATAAAAATGACGGTAACAATTATTAGATCCGATACCTTTTATTTTACACGTTTTGTACACATTCCTTTGAAACCGCATATAAAACTTGTCCAACATATCATTACAGGTCTCTAGAAAACGAGATTTTGTCTGTACCGAGTCATGTTCGCGCGCTGAACGCGTTACAAGTGTCTCCATACCGTATCACCCAAATCGTTGACTCTGACGGTGTTATACACTCCATCAGAGAGGTAAGTAATATGACAACTTCTTTCTCTGTTCATAAGTAAGTTTGGTTTGGTTTCATTTTTGGTTAAGGAATTTTAGAAAACCTGTTATATTCAAACGAGGAATAAGAGTAAAGTGAGCGCAGGCCATAAAAAACTATACATGGCTTGTACTCTGGTCATTTTTGTTATTAGTAGAGTTGTTGAGTATCAAAAAGAATACATTCATTCACGCAAGGAAATAGGTACCTTTGGATATAAAATCATAATAACTTAACTTTATAGATGATGCTGATATATATCAAAAATTCTAACTTAATAGTGAGAAATTGACTTAGGACAGAGCTCTTAACCAAAATAGGCTTCATACCTCAGATCTCTCAATCAAGTGATGTACTCAAGATCAATCTTGGCCTGAAAATATTGACGTATTAAACGTTTGTGTTTGTATTTTCTACATCCAGGATACACGCACAGAGTTTTCATGCTCACGCCAAGGCTACTTTGTGCATCCTCGCTCCTGCGCCAGGTTCTATCGCTGCGTCAAGTTCGACCAGCTCTCACCGGAATACACAGTATGTTATAAAACTTCTTTCATAATCTAATTATTATATTATTAAGCTAGCTAATAATTGATTTGCATTCAGTAGCATTGTATGTTTATTTTTATAGTACTACTGTCTCCCAAACTAGAGAAGTAACCTGTACTTCGGAAGACAATTTTCAATGATGATGATTTGATGACTTCAATGTTCTAGGTTTTCGAATTCGACTGTCCAGCTGGTCTCGCATTCGACTCCCGATACGAAGTATGCGTTTGGCCCGGTAGTCTTCCCCATTCGCAGGCCTGCCCAGGTTCCTCAGAGATCGCCCCGGTTCCCAAAACAAGATTCATCTGTCCTGAACATGAAGGTACGGATCAAAATATTTTTGTGCTTGAAGTTACGCAAAAACATAGCAGAAAGAGGAGGAAAGACGATGTACGAATTAATAAATATTAATTTATTTTAACCTGTTTTTGTTTAGGGGTTGGCATGAGGTATAACATTGCATACTCGTAATAATCTATCAACTTTCTTAAAAAGCTGCCGTTTGCCACAAGTGCGTTCCCAATTTTTTTCATCCCTTTTCTTAAATAGCAATCTGGTAATCTTACCTGCAAACAGAAGTTGGGCAATTTTTTTATGGTATATGAGGAAACCGAGCAGACAAGTCACCTGTATGGTGATGGTAAGTGAGAACCATCGCCACGTACATCTGCATCTCAAAAGACACCCGTTGCTTCGAGCCCTTTGCCCGTTGCCCTTTCGAGTACTAGCCGACCAGCATTAGGGGTAGGGAGGAATTGAATTAGACTTCCGGTAACCTTACTCACTCGGTGAAAAGCGGCAAAAAATTGCTGTATAGCGGTTTCCTATGTGGTCGAGGTATCACTCCAGTCCAGATGACTCATTTGTACCGAAGTGTGACTTCCCCATGGGTGGTTCCCGTAATATTACGTATACCCTGCAAATATACGTAAAATTACACGTTCAGTCTAAGTATTCCAATTACATTTTCATCAGGTTACTACGCTGACCCGGAGAACTGTCGCTGGTTCTTCGCTTGTCTCGACCACGGCACTTCACCTCTGACGGCCTATGAGTTCCGTTGTCCTTTCGGTCTTGGATTCGATGCAGAACGACTTAAGTGTGACTGGCCGTGGCTCGTGCCTAACTGTGGAAACATTGGACGATATGAAGCTGAAGCACATGGCTTCTCTGCTGCACTTTTAACTGGTAAGACGGAAAACTTTTATAAAACTCAAGATACGTATTGCATGTTTCAGAAATAGTACTTTGGTCAAATTGCAACTGTAATTTTTAACTTCCAGGTGCAGGTGGCTTTAATGGCCACACGGCAGATGCTATCAATGTTGCTGCTCACCAGAGTTTAGTGTCCGGAGCATCGTTGGATAACCTTGTTGGCATTCAAGGCGGTTACCTCACAAAGAACGATGCTTTAGATTCTAATTTCATTACATCCCAAGAACTAAACAATGCTGCACAAGCTTATGATAGAGGCCACGGTTCTAGTGATGTAGCATACCAAGTTGGTGATGCAACGTTAGGCTTAGTACAACCGACTCAATATAATAACCAAGGACAGTACTCAAGTGGGTCCATAATATTGGATGATTATAGGCTTCCTACTAAAGAAGAATTAGCACATAAAGCTGCCCATAATGATCATGTGCAAGCAGTTCAGTCACATGCAGATCAGCTTCAAGGTCAGCTTCAATCAATTCAAACAATTCATTCTGGAACATCCCCTGGCCAGACTACTGGATACAATAAATATTCTGGTACTGCTTCATCTGGATACGGTCAATACTCAACTCAATATAAAAGCAACAACTATGACGATGATTCTGGCAAATACATTCACGATCCTTCTGGGGATCACGCTGAGCCTTACAAACACCAGGACTCTCCTACCGTACCTTATATCCATAATAATGCTGCCTACAAACAATCTAGTGAATATTACGACTACGGTAAGTACTCCGGCTCCTATCAAGACTCCGGATATTTTGGAAGTCAATATGTTGACGACAATAGTGGACAGTATGTTGAAGACAATTCTGGAGCATATGTAGAGAGAAACTCCGCATCTGGTGGATACCAAGGTGGTTATACTAAGGGATACAACGCTGATTACTCTGGATTTTACCAGAGTGACGATTCAGGAAAATATAGCGCTGGAGTGTACAGAACTGATGGCCATATTGGTAATGGCAAAGCTACCAGTTCTTCAAATTCCCAACAGTATCATAGGTACAGCGAAGCGAACGCTGGAAACTACGTAAGCGATGCTAAGGCACTCTCTGGTTCTCCACACATTTTAACAGCTGGTGCCATTAATGTTGGATTAGTAGGAAAAACCACTTTAATTGATGCTGAATACAAAGACCAGAGCAACTATCATGGATTAAATCCTCATCTTACTCAGTCCTACAGTCATTCTACTCAAACTTTGCATCCATCCCATATAGTGTCACACCTATCACAGCCAGCAGTTTCTATAAGTCATGTTGGTACTGACGAGAATAACCTCGATGGATACAATTACGTCACCACCCCAACGTCTTCGGGCATACCTACTACAGCTACTCCATTTGCCGCCACTACTTCGTTGCCCGTCGTTTCAACGTACAAAACTACTTTTGTTCCACAAGCGCCTAAAACAAGCATTAAGCAAGTCTTTGGTATCTCACAGCCTGCTTTGACATACGTTGAACCCACCCGTATTGCTGTAAAGCAATTAACACCTCAAGTTGATGTGAGCGATCACAAACAAGGTGTTAAATATCATTTACAAGGTCACCACTACTCTTCTGGCAGTTACAATGGTGAGGATAGCAAAGATAAGTCGGGATATGTCTATTCCAAGCCCAGTATTAATTTCGAAGATGGTATTTCGTATACCACTACAGCCCCAGCAATTGCTATATCAACCTATAAACCGGAAAGCTTCAGCCACAATCAAGGAAGTTATAATCAAATTGGATATGGTGGCATTGACTACTCTTATCGCACTCCTGTTTATGAAGAACCTATCAAAAAAGCTGTAGCTTACACCACTGGGGATTCTGTCAATTCATTTGCGCAACCCACCGCTTCCTCTTACACTCCACACTCTTTCAGCCACCAAACAGTTCATAAAATAGAATCTAGTAATACATATGTCCCTTCTGTACAAACTGATTATGAATACTCAAAATCACAAGTTGTGTATGAAGAGCCCAAGATTATTCAGTATACTACTCCGCAACCTACTATTCACGTTCAACCAGTCGTTTCAAAAAGTGTACATGAAGTCGACACAACTAGAGTGAATGCTTATTCTGGAGAATCAGGATACAACTATGCAAAACCGTCTGTTCCGTTTGCAGAAGCTAAGACCATCTATTCAACACCTGCTCCTATCGTGACTTCTACCTACAAACCTCAGATTTACAGCCACCAAACCGTCCACAAAATAGAGGCACAGAATTATGTACCAGTTTCAACTACACCTAAATATGACGTCAGCTACCAGTCTACTCCGGTTACCCTATATGAAAATCCTTTTGTAAAATATACCCAAGATGTGACGCCAGTTACCTACACCAAACCTTCTTATACTTCTAATGCCGTCAGTCATCAAACGATTCACAAAGTAGAAAATACTAATGTTTATAGGCCAGCTAACACCGACTCTGGATACGAGTACACTAAATCCCCAGTAACCTTCCAAGAACAGCCACGTGAAGTTGAATATACCACTGTCCAACCTAGTGTTAGTTCTACGTATCAACCACAGGTATACAGTCACCAGACCTTACACAAGGTGGATGCTAATCGAGTAAATACTCATTCTCAAGGATTCCAAGGTTATGAATACCAACAACCTGCTCTGAAGTTCGAAGAAAATCCTAAAACTAGTTTTGAATATTCTACTCCCGCGGCAATTATTACCACGTATCAACCACAAGTATACAGCCACCAGACCGTTCACAAAATTGACGCAAGTCAAGTTAATAGTAATTCCCAGGCATCTAACGGTTATGAATATCAACATGGTGCTGTCAATTTCGAAGAATCACCTAAAACGATCTTTGAATACACTACTCCCGAACCAGCTGTTACTACGTATCAGCCTCAGGTATACAACCACCAGACCCTTCACAAAGTCAATGTTGGCCAAGTTAACGGTTATTCCGAACAATCTAATGGTTATGATTACCAACAAGCCGCTGTCAAATTCGAAGAAGCACCCAAGACAACAGTTGAGTATTCAACTCCAGCACCAATTGTTACTACAACGTACCAACCACACGTGTTTAGTCATCAAACTTTACACAAAGTAGATGCCAGTCAAGTGCAAACATATTCTCAAGATACCGATGGATATGAATACAAGAGGCCTGCTGTAAAATTCGTTGAACAACCTAAATCAGTGTTTAAATACTCTACTCCTACTGCCGCTCGATCTCAATCATTCAGCCATCAGACCGTTCACAATGTAGAAAGACAGAAATATACACCAGTTACTTCCACTTTTGCTCCCAAAGTTGATATAACTTACCAACAGGCAGTTACAACATACGAAAATCCAATACTTAAATATACACAGAAGGAGACACCAGTGACTTACGTACAGCCTACAGCCGCAGTTTATACGCAAACATATAAACCAATCATTCAGCAACATGAAGTCAAACATATAATTAGTGAACCAGTAGAATACCAGCAAAATAGGCACTTAAATCTGGAAAGTTACTCATATAGTCAACCGGAAATTCAAAGAAATGTGGAAAGAAGCAAGGGATATTCTGACGCAAGTGTAGTGTCTCATCAATATTACCACCAATCGAATAAAAACCAAAACTACGAATCAGGAAAAGTTATTGTCTCCACCTCGCCATCAACTCTTATCTACGAAGACCATTATTCAGAATATAAATCACCAAATGTTGATTTCAAGGCCCCTGAGTACATACCACCTAAGAATGATTACAAATTATACTCGACTGCATCTACTGCGTCGACCCCTGTTGTCCACGAGAGCTCAGTGATTCATCAAGCTCAAGAATACATTGCACCCAAAACGTACTCCGAAACAAACCTCTTAGTTGGACGGACAAATCAAGATACCCAAGGCAATTATGAATACAAAGCTGAGGATTACTCGCAACAATACGAAACGGTACAAAACACTTTACCAGCTGTCCAACATGTTTCTTTCAGTACTTCCCATGTGGCACAACCAGAGAAAGTAGAGTCAATCCACTTCTCATTCCCTAGTACAACACCTAAAACTCAATATCAACAATACCAATCACCCGAAATCCAAGTAGCTTATAAATCCGAAGAATATTTACCACCAGTGGTGTCTACAGCAACTCCAATTATAACGTCTACATATAAGCCGAGGACTTACTCAACTGTGTCTAATATTAGAGAATATCTACCACCAGCTGAACCTAAAGTTAAGTCTACAACACCGAGTTATCGAACTGAATCTACTACTGCGTATCAGGCTTCAGAGTACTTGCCTCCAGTAGAAGCAAATGGAGCTAGAGGAGTTAGTTTTAGTTACAATGACGGAGCTTCCCAGGGCCACCACTTTTCTGAACAAGCTTTTGCAGTAAATCATGCTTCTGCACCAGTGCACAAACATAACATTGTGGTCGAAACTGCTAAATCCCATTTACTCGGTTTTGGTACTGTAGGCCCAGATGCTGGACTGGTATCGGCAACATATACCACAGCTGCCCCCATTATATCTTCCACTTACAAGCAAAGAGTGAAGTCTACTACACCCACTTATAGATACAAATCTACAACGGATTATCAGGCACCAGAATATTTACCACCTTCGGAAGAAGTGCCATTGGAAGTTGACGTTGGAAACTTCGGGTACAAAAATACTAAAGGATCTTACTCGAATATTCAAATTAATCCATACCAAGAGGCAACAATTTTGTCTACTGCTGCACCAATTTATAGAAAACAAAATATTGTTGTGAAAACAGCAAAGTCCCATTTGCTTAATTATGAAAGAGCCGGATCTGACGCCGGACTAGTTTCTCCTGTATCATACACGACATCATCACCAGTTGTATCTAGTTCTGAATCATATTCACTTTCTCGGAAACCTGTTACTTCGATATACTCTCCTGAGGAACAAGGTCTCTTTGAAGTCACTCCTTCTACCATTCCGATAAGAAAGACAAGACCGAAAGTAGCTGTTGTTACTAAAATAAACGATTTTAATCCATTCCTAATACGTAAATTAGGAGCTGTCTGTAGTTGTCAATCGCCAGTCCTCATTCTTAAAGGGAAGAGGCCAACTCAACAACCACAAGATATACCTGATTATAATGATTCTGATAATTCTGGCCGTGGAGATATTAATGGGGATAATTATAAACAAAGATATACTAAAGTGCAAGCACATATTGACTCCGTTGCCACCCCCGCACCAATCGTTTCATCTACCTTTAATCCGATCATTGTACCTGATGACTCATTCTATCAAGATTTACAAGAACAGAGCGGTTATGATGTGGCTGTAACACCTAAACATTCAGAAAGTTATATTTCGAATGTGCCAATAGGAGCTTCTACAACATTAAAACCTATCAGAATCCGAAACAGAGTGAAGGCTGTTACTGTTGCTCCTACATACGAAACTGTATTGTTAAATCAAAATGCGGCACTAACTACCAAAGCTGGAGGGGACTCTTCAGCCGGCGTTGAAGCTCAAGCGTTCGACCGTTATGGTCCAGGAGGCTGGAGAAGTAGAGACGAAACACTACAGGGATCAGTGGATTGTAAGAGAGCTGGTTTGTTCCGTCATCCAAAACAGTGTAACAAGTTCTATGCTTGCAGATGGGATTGTACTAAACAGAGGTTTACTCTTCATGTCTTCAATTGCCCTATCCAACTCAGTTTCGACCCGAGCATAGGAGCTTGTAACTGGCCCAGTCAAGGACCTGCCTGTCAGGGGGACACTCTTCTAACTAACGTTCTTTAAGTTTAATTTAGATTTCAATCTTATCGTGCCATCGACATTGTGATAAAATTGTGATCACGCATTTTGCCGTAGCTGTTCTTAATGCAGCTGAACGATTTGTCTCTCTTTTTTGTTTAAGTTGCTTATTTATTTGTTCAATCTTGTTAATGTTATTTGATAGTTATTTATTACATATCTTTTTCAGCTTAAAACTTGCTAAGTCTTTTAAATTTTCATTATTGGAATTAGAGTAACTATTGTCTAGTTCTTGTTATTGTAAAATAATGAAGTCATATTTTTGTGTTTTTATAAATTAATTTAGAAATAATGTGCTGTAATCTGTAAATATACCATTTATTCAATGATCAAGAATTTTATTTATAGGCAATCACTTGTCGAATTCCAACAAAATCACATGATCATCACTGGTAAAAACATTTTTAAATAGTTAAAAGAACAGGTTTTGAAACCGCATCTAAAGTATCTTTATATTTTGATAATACAGGATTTACTTCTTCTTCGATAAATTCAGTTACCTGCTCAGGAGCTCTGCCTATAAAGGTGGAAGCATCCAAAATTTTTTCCAATTGAGGTATGATAGGGGCAAAGTAGCTGTCGTTCTTAACACGATCGATTAAATCATTATCTTTGCCGTGCTGTTTCACTTGAGCGCCAGCTTCATGTGAAAGGACTCTTATTTTCTCGTGGCAAATTTGACGATCGCCACCAGCTTGAACCATAGCCATAATAATATTCTCTGTGGCCATGAAAGGTAACTCCTGGCTTATGCAACGAGCAATAACTTTAGGGTATACAACCAGACCTTGGCAAATGTTAAGTAAAGTCAGCAAAGCGGCATCTGCTGTAAGAAAACTCTCAGCAAGAGTGATACGACGGTTAGCAGAATCATCTAAAGTGCGTTCTAACCACTGAACCGCATGCGTGTTAGCAGCATTTGAGTGTAGAGTGATCAAGTGACGAGCAAGAGCGCAGCAACGTTCTGACCTCATAGGATTTCTCTTATAGGGCATAGCACTGGAGCCTATTTGGGATGTTTCAAAAGGCTCTTCAATTTCTTTACGAGACGCTAATATACGAATATCTGAACACATTTTGTGAATAGTTGCGCCGAGTCCAGCTAAGGCCGAAATTACTTCCAAATCCACTTTTCTTGAGTAGGTTTGTCCAGTGACGATAAAGCTGCTATCAAAACCAGCTAAATCAGAAACTTTTTTGTCAAGAGCCCGAACCTTAGCCCCATCTCCTTTAAATAGTTGCAGGAACGAGGCTTGGGTACCGGTTGTTCCTTTGACTCCACGGAAACGGAGGTCGTTTCTTGCTCTACTGAGGGCACGTTCGTCCATTAGTAGGTCACTAAGCCAAAGCGATGCTCTCTTTCCGACAGTAGTCAGTTGAGCGGGCTGCATGTGAGTGAAGCCCAAGATTGGGAGCGATCTGAAAACAGTTATTTAAACTTCATTAGCTCAAATGACACATGGTTACATTACTTGAACTAATCAAGGTCGGTTGATATAAAAGAATAAAAATAAATAATAATAATTTCGGACATCTGCCACGCAACGCCAACTAGTTTCAAAATAAGCAGAGCTTGTACTGTGAAAGCTAGATTGACTGATAGAATGGAGCGATCTGAAATCAATTTTTTACACCTCATTAGCTCAACAGATACACAGCTCCATTACTTGGTTAGCGGTCGGTTAGGATAAAAGAATATTAATCATATTTTCAGATACCCGACACACAACACCATCTAGTTTCAAACTAATAATAATAATTTATTTAAAAAATACTTTTACATAGTACATGATTTTACAAATATTGCTGTGGGTACATGATACTATTAAATTAGGGTATCTGTGCCTGGACTAGATAAGAAATTTGTATCCCAGACATCAGCGCTCTTCCCTGATTACATCACCTAATATTATACCATTTATTACAACAAAAGTTTTACACCAGTTTTTTTTAATATTACTGCAAAACGAAGGTGAGGAAGTAGTATTATTTGTCCTCTCTGTGAGTGGAGTGAGGATGTGGATGTGTGAGCGTGAGAGGTTGAGTAGAAAGGTTCCTGTGGCACATTTGGAGATTTTCGGTTTCCTCATATGATAATTTATGTATAAAGTCGAAAATTTTATTTTGGTACTGTTTTTATTAAGATTGTATAAGCTTATAATGTTATTAATTTTGGCATATAGGTAAACGAATAGAAAACAAAAATATTTCATTACATAGACATGTCTAAAGAGAGGTCAAACAAGATTTGGAATGGTTTCTCGTCTTTTAGTTTCCGTACCGCTTCCTTCTTCCTTCCTTAATCCAGTAAAGAATGTTGTTTTATTAAAGTGAGTAATACAAACAACTGTCGGACCGTAAGAATCTCGCAGAACTGATATAGATTATAGGTAAGGTACCGGTATGGTCGAAATGAACTGACCTTGAGTAATGGTCCTTTGAGTTATTTCCAACAGTTTCAGGATCGTTTTGCCTACCCTACCCCAAACAGTTATACAGTACTAAACTAAGCAGAGCTTGTACTATGAAAGCTAAATTGACTGATAGAATGCTATGAAACTGTAGGATAATGTTTTTAGTACATCTCATCTCATGTCGCAGTTAGTAAATAATGGAAGCAAATCACAGTAGTAATGATTATTACGTATTGTTCCATACTTATTGTTATTGTATGCTAAACAGTTATCATGTAGGTCTTGGCTCTTGATGTTTAATCGAGTAATTTATATTATGGATAATGTTTGCACTCAGTGTACTAAAACTGAAACTATCATTCTAGGTTTTAGTACACTGTCAGAGTTTAAGGGCATTATTATTTTTAATTTTTTTTTTTGTTTTACCATCATCAATTAATTTGATAAAAAATGAACGATGACTGGTTTCTAGCCTTATAAGCAGGTTAAGTTAATTCAGGTAATCAGTACGCGTTTTCTAAATATACATATTAACTTTATGAATCTGTATTTCAACTACTTAGAATAATAGACTAAAATGAGAAAAATTATCATGAAGTACTTCAAGACTTATTTAACTTAAGAACGAAACATATAGATGCTTAAGGCATTTATATTTATCTTATCTTTACATAGTATGAAACAAAGTCGCTTATTTTTGTTGTACGCTTAGATCTTTTAAACTAAGCAACAGCTTTTAATGCGGTTTTCACCAATAGAGAGAGTGATCCAAGAGGAGGGTTCACATTATATATTATGGTATATATTATATGTATAATACATGCATATCATAGTAGAGGAAATCCGAAAATTCCTAAGATTTGTCGTGAATAAACATGGTTTTGATCGCTTACATTGCGAACGCTGGCTAATCCTTACGAAATAGACCAAAAAATGTACTACAGAATTGTATATCTTAAAAAGATCTACAATAAAGTCCGCGATACCATCGCGATATCTATCTCTTAAGGATAACCCACAGTAACAATTTTTATCTTTTAAATATTACATAAAAATAATGGGTTAATTACGAAGCTATATTAAACAATACATTATTATTCCTTATCCCATTAAATAGGTAAGATACGTTGTGCATTTAATGTAGATTAAAGTTACTCTTTACAGCTTGTCATTAAAATGAATATTTTAGATATTAGACGTTTAAAACGCAGGGGCCCAACGACCGTCGAGCCGTACGTCCGTCCCGGGTGGCAGCGGCCGGCAGGATCGGAGCGGGCCTATAAATATTGCATATAAAGATGTCTTTTAATATAGTCCTGTCATCATAACATTAAACTTAATTACTCCACACTGACACCACATTAGTGGTATTTGTAGTCTCTACATTGCACCCGTGCAAAGCCTGGGCAGATCGCTAGTAACTATATAAAAACATTTAGTTTTAGTATTTTAAATGAACTCACTTGTATTCATTGGCAAACTGCGACAGCTGATTGATAATAGCGGCGAGTCTTGGCAAAAGAATATCGAGTCCATTTCTGAGTACTATTAAATCGGTATTATCTCCCACATAGCATGAAGTTGCCCCAAGGTGAATGATGGGTGCAGCAAGCGGACACTTTTCAGCGAGAGTATGAACATGAGCCATGACATCATGACGAACTTTTTTCTCAAGATCGGCAGCAAGTGCGAAATCGATGTCGTGGACGGCGCCTTCTAGTTCTGCGATTTGAGCGTCGCTGATGTCGAGACCCAGCTCCTGAAAATTGAGAAAGTAAAAATGGTGATTATAAAGGATTTTAAATAATGAACAGTATCTGTTGGTCACGGAATTGTAGGCTTTCTTATAAATACTATTAAATTGAACATTCCGAGGCGTGGTCGTACCAAATATTAGATACCAGTCATTAGTTAGAGAGGGACAAAAAATATAAATATTTATTTGTCACTGTAGGTAGTATTAATAAAAGATGTTACATATTTAAAATACGTTAGGCTACATTGCGCCCATGGGCATATTTTTTTTATTAATTGTTAAAATCTTAATTAATTAATTATAATGGCAATAATCAAAAAGATTTGGTTAAAATAAACCAAATCTTTTTGATTAAAATGAACAACACAAAAATAATCAAAATTAACATTTATAAACCAATCAGAATTGCTTGTAAAGAACTTTTAAAAATATTTAATTCTAAATCTCGGATGTGTTTGTATTTATATTATACATTACAGCCTTCGTTCTTTTTCCAGTTTGGTTGTCTGTCCTAGTTGTCCGGTTGTCGGTTTTTCAGACTATTAGTCGTGACCCTTTATATCCAACTAAGGATAAACACACACGTTTTCCGTTTTCAGCATAAACTAAACTTTTTAAGTTTGTTAAAGTTATTGTATGATACCAAAATGTATTCTTTTTGACATATTCCAAGGAAACTTCTTATTGAAGGGTTGCTGTTTATCTTCCTTTTAGTAGCTATTGGTATTGGTATTAGCAGACCAAGGTTGTAGCCGCTTTTCTTCTCAGGCGGACTACTCACCGGCTGACCCAGTGGAGAGATCTATGAGATTACCTCAGGGCGCCTTCGAAGAGAAAAGAAGTGTGTGCGTGTGGGAAACCTACGGGACTCTTTAGAGGAAAACAACTTACACCTCAGTCATACATACATGTATATTTCAAAACAAAATTAAATTAACAATAAAAAAATCAGAGGGTATAAAAAAAAAACCGCAGCGGAGCGCGTCAGAGCCGAGCTGATGGTGCTCGGTGCCTCCTCGTCGTCCCTCCAGGAGGTTACTTCCTCTTCCGCCCGAGTCGGCTATTTATATTAGATACGGACAAAAGTCCAACAAATTACAATTATAAGTTCAAGTACGTAACTCTTGGGTACGGCTGTCCGCTTGCGTCGTGAGCCGCGCAATCACCAGCTTTGCCAGAGGGTACCGAGAAACTTGAGTCTGTACCAGAAGGCCACAAAAGAGCAAGCACGCCGTCTAAGACTGACTGTCTTGACCCCGATCTGGGACCCTACGAATGGATTAGCACTCATATAATTAAACAGGTACCAGAAACAAATAGGTTTAAGTAGAATTAAGAACATACTCACCACTTTAGTGTGGGTACTTTTGAACAGATAATATATTAAGAAAATCAAATCACACAGCAATCAAAACACTATATAAGATCGGAAGGCACGAGATAGCAGTGTCTCCCGTGGCAGAAAGCCGGACTTATATATCTTCGGTTAACGAAGCTTCCAGAAAATAACCCCTCTTCAACATTTTACTTTGACATTTAACATCAGTGAACACAGAAGATCAAAACTGTAGTTATAAACTACCTTAGATAAATTAAAAACAATGCAACGCGGCTAATAGATGTAGCTTTTAACAAGACCAACAAATGTACAAAAAAATAACTGTTACACCACCCCCTCCCTCAAAGTATTCCCTGCGTAGCATGCGCAGGGAATATCATCACCAGGGTCAACCCAAGAAATGCAAAATAAATTATATAGCTCGCGCTGACCACACTCATTGTGAGCAATATGAAATCCAAACAAAACAATAACTACCAAAAAAAACAAAGTCAAAAGGCCTTCACCCAATACTACAGAGGTGTTACCCTATTTACTACCCGAATCACTGTATGGTTCTCACATAAGTGAACACCATAGAGTGAGCAGGTGTGTGGCAAAGAGAGACCGTGCGACGCGAAGTGTGCAATCTCACATACGAGTAGAGACGGAACTGACATAGGTAGGAGAAGGATCAGAAGGTTGTTCCTTTTCACTATACTTCAAAATGTCCTTAATGTGATATACTCCCAGATCCTTACCATCCAAATCCGACAGTTCATAGACTAAAGGAGAGCGTTTGGCGGTGACAATGCATTTCATAAATTTAGGCGCTAACTTCGTCGTAAAGTTCTTAGCCTTGTTAGATAGATAGAATGTCCTCTTATAAACGATCTGTCCCACTTTCAATTCCACATGCCTTTTTCTGAGATTGTAGTATTTCTCGTTACGCCGGTGAGCAATATCTAAGTAATTCCTCACCTGGTCGTATATCCGATGTAGTTCCTTCAATCTCTCACCAAAGGACACTGGACTGTCAATGGAAACAGAATTGGGATGGGCAGGAATCTCTGTCTGTCTATAAAGAACTCCATCCCCTATGAATTCCCTACCGTGAACAAGAAAATAGGGACTGAAACGAGTGGCTTCGCTGACAGCAGTGTTTAGGGCACACTGGAGTTCCACGAGATTCTCGTCCCATTTCTTGTGATGTGACTTCACGTAGCAGGAAATTCCCTGAACCACGTTGCGTATAGCTCGCTCTGCCTGGTTGGTCTGCGCGTGATATCGAGGATTATAATAAATGTTAGGCACATTGTACTTAACCAACAAGTCCCTAAACGGTTTGCTAACAAACTGTGGGCCATTATCCATATAAATGGTTTTACAAACCCCGTGGACTAAGAAAACATTCTTTTCTATGAATCTCGCGACAGCAACGCCTGTTGCTATCCGTATAGGACACAACATGACATATTTACTGAAATAGTCCGAGACCACAATTAAATGAACGTTTCCCTTGCTGGAAGTAGGGAATGGACCCAGCAGGTCACACGAGATGGCCTCAAAAGGTCTAGACACCCGTTTCGGATTCCCCATTAGGCCGGGACGAGTAGTGTTCACAGGTTTGTACTGCTTACAAGTCTCACACTTGTCTACATATTCCTTGACACTCTCGTACATCTTAGGCCAGTAATAGTAGAGGGCCAAACGTTTATGGGTTTTCCAAACACCCCCATGGGCACTCATGACGTCGTCATGGTACTTGGTGAGCAGGGATAACCTGTCTTCCAGCGGCACCACCAGCTTCCACTCAAAATCAGAGGTCAGAGAGTATTTCTGTTTTGATAGCCTGTATAAACAGTTATTCCGTATATCAAAGTTGGGGAAGTGCTGAGGGTTCTTCTTCACCCTGTCTAGAGTGTGGAGGTACCAAGAGTCCCTAGTAACGCTGGTGCCTATTGTGTCAATCTGAATTCGAGACAGAGCATCGGGTACCACATGGTCTTTACCTTTTCGATGCTCTATATCGACGTCAAACTGGCTCAACCTCATGCTCCAGCGCGCCAGGCGACCTGTCGGATTCTTAAGTTTACGGAACCACAACAGCGAGGCGTGGTCCGTAACTACGGTGCATTTCTGGCCTTCCACGTACTGCCTGAACTGTTCCAGAGCAAAGATCACCGCTAGGAGTTCTCGCTCAGTGGTGCTGTAGTTGACTTCGTTTTTGTTAAGAGAACGACTACAATACGCGATAGGGTGTTCCACTCCCTCATGTGTCTGCGTGAGTACAGCAGCCACAGAGAAGGATGACGCGTCACTGTTTATTCGAAACAAAGTCACCTGAAGAAAGGACCTGTTCCAGCTCAGAGATCTTAGGCTCGCAGACAGACAACTCAGAGGCGGCAACAGCAGGAACAGCGGCGATGGCCTTAATGCTGCCACGCCGGATAAGCCGCAAAGCAGTACGCAGTTCAACTCGCAAGCCGACAACCGTATCCTCCGGATTCGCTGAAATCCCCATGGCAGACAGTTCATTAATAAGTTCATCCTTTTTAAGGTAGTTAATGCACTTACGTAAATGTGCCATGGTGGTTTACAATTTAAATTCGATTATACAAAAATAATCCTAACAAGTTAACAAACCAGTAATGCAGACTTAATGTCTTTTACAGTTCAAAAAAAAATAAAAAATAATGATATTGAGTAGACTCTCCTTCACTATCAACAGAGTGTGAGAAGTTTAAAGTAAATTAATATTTAAAAAATATTATAACAAAATATTAAAACATCAAGTAATATCTCAAAGTAGAAACTGAGTATACTTCTTCACTATTAAGTGTGAGAAAGCTAAAGCACACTAATATTTTTAACAAATATTGCAATAAAATATTAAAATATCAAGTAATATTTCAAAGTAGAAACTGAGTATAATTCTTCACTATTAAGTGTGAGAAAGCTAAAGCACACTAATATTTTTAACAAATATTATAATAAAATATTAAAATATCAAGTAATATTTCAAAGTAGAAACTGAGTAAACTTCTTCACTATTAAGTGTGAGAAGGTTAAAGCACACTAATATTTTTAACAAATACTATAATAAAATATTAAAACATTAAGTAATTCTCAAAACTTGAGAAGTAAATTCAACTAAAGACAAAGATATTCTTGTTTCACAATTCAAGACACAAGTTATATTATCTTTAGAACATTAACACAGTAATCCAATGAATTGACAAAGTTTAATTATCATAAAAGTTATTTCAACATAAATTTTAAGTAGGGTATGTATATCACAAAACTATTTTATTCTAATTTTAAGCCAAGAGGTTATATAAAAAATGGAGGGTACATAAAACTTTATAAGTTAAGTTAAGTTTCAAGTAAATTACACCAGTAGTACTGGGAAAAAAAAACACACTGAATATACACGTATGCACAACTTCACGCTACGGACCTCAAAGGTACGAACAGAAGTAGCTAACTCAAAAAAAAAAAAAAAGAAGAAAAATTTAGGCCAGAAAATGTTTCAAAACTTACCCGAAATATGTGCAGTAGGAATTTTGAGTTAAATTTGGAATTTAGGTGTCTCACTGATTTTCCTTGCCTCAGGGATGATGGTACGATAGGCTGAAAATACAATGAGGGTAAAATTATTACATGCGTACTGCACCCGCACAACCAATTAACGTCCTGGGGAGTATCGGACGGAGGGAAGTGTCTCCTCCAAAGTGAATACCCTCAGGCACCCTCACACAGCACACACACAGAGGTTTGGATCACTGGCCAAACGTTGGTCGCCAATTTGTAGCCGCTTTTCTTCTCAGGCGGACTACTCACCGGCTGACCCAGTGGAGAGATCTATGAGATTACCTCAGGGCGCCTTCGAAGAGAAAAGAAGTGTGTGCGTGTGGGAAACCTACGGGACTCTTTAGAGGAAAACAACTTACACCTCAGTCATACATACATGTATATTTCAAAACAAAATTAAATTAACAATAAAAAAATCAGAGGGTATAAAAAAAAAACCGCAGCGGAGCGCGTCAGAGCCGAGCTGATGGTGCTCGGTGCCTCCTCGTCGTCCCTCCAGGAGGTTACTTCCTCTTCCGCCCGAGTCGGCTATTTATATTAGATACGGACAAAAGTCCAACAAATTACAATTATAAGTTCAAGTACGTAACTCTTGGGTACGGCTGTCCGCTTGCGTCGTGAGCCGCGCAATCACCAGCTTTGCCAGAGGGTACCGAGAAACTTGAGTCTGTACCAGAAGGCCACAAAAGAGCAAGCACGCCGTCTAAGACTGACTGTCTTGACCCCGATCTGGGACCCTACGAATGGATTAGCACTCATATAATTAAACAGGTACCAGAAACAAATAGGTTTAAGTAGAATTAAGAACATACTCACCACTTTAGTGTGGGTACTTTTGAACAGATAATATATTAAGAAAATCAAATCACACAGCAATCAAAACACTATATAAGATCGGAAGGCACGAGATAGCAGTGTCTCCCGTGGCAGAAAGCCGGACTTATATATCTTCGGTTAACGAAGCTTCCAGAAAATAACCCCTCTTCAACATTTTACTTTGACATTTAACATCAGTGAACACAGAAGATCAAAACTGTAGTTATAAACTACCTTAGATAAATTAAAAACAATGCAACGCGGCTAATAGATGTAGCTTTTAACAAGACCAACAAATGTACAAAAAAATAACTGTTACAAGGTTAATTTAATGTATATTTGTTATGTGATTACCAATTTATCTAAATGTAGTTTGTAATCCTTTGTATATTTTAAGTTTTACCCGTTATAAAAAGTTATAAACCTTGATACACTTTTAAAAATAATGACTTAGGTAAAAAGATGTTTACAGTGAATTGAAATCAAAATAAAATAACTTTAGTTTCAATTCTTACTACCTAAACATAAAAATGATGTAAAACTTGTAAATATAGGTCTTCACTTCATAGCATGGCGCCTAAGAAAATGAGTTCATTTGTTTTTATGCTGTACATCGTAATCTCTGCGTGTGGTCAAACTCGTCATGCAGAAGATTCATCTGTGCCAAGGCTTGAGTTTATTTTAAGAAATTATGCCTTCATTCATAAAACTGGGTGGGTGATAATGACCTGAACAACAATTAGTAGGTTGTCTAAAATAACTGCAACATCATCGCACTGCACCAACGACTGTTAGTTGATTTGATCGTGATATTAAATACCTACATTCATAAAATTAAAGTTAACTTCGAAGATAATTTTAGCAATTTTGAAATTTGGTTAAACCTGACGATGTAAGTAGGTCAATATTTTTTTAGATTATATTGTAATTAAATGTATATTTTAATTATTAAACTCCATTGAAAAAAGGGCTTCTCGCATCCAGCTCCTGCCAGCCATCTTGCGCAAATCGTCACTCCACCTGGCCTGTGGGCGTCCTACACTACGTTTGC